TTATATCAATTACCAGATTTCTGTCTGACACTACTGTTTTATCGTATTTTAATTTTGGCAAAAAACTTTTCCACAAGTAATTTAAAACTGTTTTGCGTTGAAATGAATCGATCTATGCGAGCGAACTAGAAAGATATACTATAAAAATAATAAAAATAATACTAATAAATAGTGAATAAATAATAAATAATATGTAAGAGAGGTGCTTGTCGAAATTTTGGATGATGCGAACACATCACATGGATCCAGTATAATTATTCAACGACACCATTTCAACCATGAATATTTCCAATTATCAGCAAATATTCTTTCTGTTTTATGAGATATTGAAGAGTTATGGGAAAAAAAAAAGATCGACTTTCGAATGGATTTTTGACTTTAAAATAACTTTCGAAAATTTAAAAATTTAAAAAATTGGAAAAAAATTCGACGAAAAAAGTTGATTGTTTAAGCTTTCTTAAAATTAGCGATTCAATTCTATGTTAGTGATAATTTTTCTCATTAAAATGCAAATTTTTTAAGGCGATTATTTGACAAATACCATTAATGATTTGAAATGGTAAATGATAAAGGCCGTAATTGTCTAACTAGATAAATATGCCAGAGAGTCTGTTCATTGATAATAGAAATACAAGTGAATCGCCATCATCACTCGGACAGCTTTCCTCCTGCATAGAGTAAAACCTCAGCATAAACGCTCCGAATTGACGCAATCCACTAAGACATTCTTCTCTCCAGCGTCGAATTCTTATTCCATGATGATCGTAAAGTTGTCATTAAAAGTGAAATACGCTTGTTATTATTTCACTTTCGACGTGTCTCACTATGAATTCTTATAATATTCTTATAGTTCTTATAATTTTTATAGTCATCTAAACCAAAAATTTTGATTATAAATATTATGAATAGATAGAAAATCTGCAAATAAAACGAAATAAATCAAATTTGTTTGTACAACAATTTTTAATAATATTTCATAAAAATTTCTTTTCATAAAAATCGTATAAAAACAATATATTTGTCGATTCAATGAAAATGAATTCTGAATAGATAGGAATTGATTATAAAAATTTTTGTTTCTAAGCAACAAAAATAAATAATAAATGATATCGATAATTTCATAACTTATTCGTAATAAAACGATTATTAATTATTTATAATTTTTTTTCTTTTTTTTTTCATTTGTCAATATTCCTTTTAAATTCACTTTAAATTACGTAAAAAAATTTTAAATTCACTTTAAATTACGTAAAAAAATAATAAAAAAATAATTTTTTTTAATAATTATGCGAATTAAATTCCGTGAGGCATAAAAATAATAGAAACGAGATATGTATAAATTTCACGAAAATTACCGCCCGATAGTTCTTTGAAAGTTGAAAAAACTGGTTTATTAGGTCTTTTGAAAGCTCATTTACATTGAAGTTTATTCGTTTTATAAAATAAATGAGAAAAGGCCTAAATTGCCAATGTATATTTATAATAATTGAATATATAAAATAATTAAAATAATTAAGTATTAAAAAAAAACGATATTTGAAATTTCCAATTCTAAATAACATAAAAGAATTGATTTTTGAGACGAATTATTTTTTTTTTTAATATTTATACTTATTTATATTAAAATTATATTATATTATTTATATTTATATTATTATATTTATACTATATTTATATCATATTTATATTACATTATATTTATATTATTTATATCATAATAATATTACAAATTAATATTATAAAATTAAAAATATAAGCGATTCTTCTATCTTCATTCATTATTTCTGTGATTTGCTTGGTTGCATTGGCTGCATTAGGACAATTCTTAGAAGAATAGAACTACAGTATCACTCTGATTTCACTTTTAATGACAAATTTATTCCGGTAAAAAAAATCAAAACCTATAACGGGTTGGTACTAGTCGATGTAATTTGCCCAAACTGTTTATAGAATATTTTACTTGAAAATAGTCGCCGATGAGAATAATAAATATAAAAGAACAAAAACATTTGAAATTTTTCATATAGAATTGAAGTGATTAAAAGATTTCTAAGATTATAAGAAATTAAAAACTTTGTTTTTTTTTTACTATAAATGAGAAAAATAGCATAAATATTTAGAAAATTGATTGAAGAAGAATTGCACGAAAAAATTGCTCGGCACGGATTTTTCCAGGAAAAGCACGGAAAAAAGTCATAAAACGATGGAAAGCAACTACGAAACGCATATGTTTAAATACACAATTCAAACTATTATAAAATGGAATAGAAATTAAGAAATATAAAAAAAGAAAAAATTTTTCGGACGAAATAAGTTGATTGGAACACAAGAAAGAAAGAATAATAAACGCATTACAAACTTAAATACATAAAAAATAGGAGAAATTGATAATATCGTATGAATAATTGTTTTCACTTAATAAACTTATTACAAAATGATCGTTAAAATAGATAAGATAAGCTTTAATAATGCGATTTATGATAAGATAAGAAGTTTTAAATAACAAAACAATTGCATCATTAAAAAATGAATTTGTCTTATGAATTATCAATTTTTCTTAAATTTATTCTTGCAAGAAATTTCGCTAAAGTGAATCGAAATTTTTGAGCTAATAAACTATGATAAATATTTTTATCATAGACTGAATTAGTGGCCAAATAGTTATGGCCAAGCAATTAACTGCACCTCAATCTCTATCCTCCTTGTAACTTCCTAGTAAAATTTCCACTAATAATTGATGAAATAAATTTTACCAGAAATGGCGAGCGCTAACCACTTAAATTTAGTGACCTATAAACAAACATATAGCAAAATGCATAAACACAGTGCTCCTCAATTTTTTTTTTTAAATACTATTTTTTTTCATTTTAATTTTATTATAAAAAAATATATTCATGCTGATACCTATAAACGAAAAGAACTGGAAAAATTGAACGAATGAATATCGACATGTTAGCAATTTTTTATTTCATCCTGTTAAAAACTTGGAAATTCCTATTTTCGATGGTGCAGTTGGAATTTTATTATTTTTATAATATATAATTATATTTTTGTTTTATATTATATATTTTTATAAACTGAACGTTATTATTATTATTAAAACAGAAAGCTATCAGTTCGCTTCTTTTCTATAAACAATTTTTTTAAATTTTTATTTTTTATTAAAATTTAATATTTTTTCTTTTAAATTGATAAAATATAAAAGAAATCAAAAGTGAATAATATCATAGGCTTTGATGATATGTTAACATGTCGATGACAGAGATCGAATTACTGAAATGATAATCTGGGATGATGTTTTTTCTCAAAGCATGTGATATCTCCGTCCTGTGGGTATTTGATTTGAGAGGGATATTGCTAGTTTGTTGCGAGTTTTTATGCAAATATACAAATTATAAAGAAATTTCTAAAATGATGCAAAATTCGAAGACATAAATTTTAGAAAAAATAAAAAATGATAAAATGATAAAAATAATAATAAAAAATAATCCACATTTAGAATTCTATCATTTTTGAGTTCTAATATATAATTCTGTGAAGAAAAAAATTCTACTTGGAAATGAGGCAGTAAGCCAAAAAGCTTTAGGAATTAATTTCACAAAATCTGTCGATGGATGATAATTCTTAATTAAGCTTTTAGAAAATTTACAAAATACAAAATTATACCATAAATGTGTTGGGCCATAAATTATTTCTATTTTGTTTCTATTTTTAAAAATAATTAATAAATAATTTAAAATGAAAAAAGAACGGATTTTGGTGAATAAAATATTATAAAATTATTGAGTTTCAGATACAATTACTAGAAAAAACAAAAGATAATAACTGAACACTTGAAGAAGATATAAAAAAGGTCACTAGAACAGGTTAAACAATAGGAATTACTACTGTTTGGCTGATAACTCTGATCAGATTTGAGTTCCAATACTTTGATAATACGGCGATGCGACATATAATTATAATCCCTGTAAATCCTATTAAGATAATATAGTCGGCATTACTGTAATAATACGCATTTGATTCATTTGGTGACATATCAAATACCAATCGACCATAAAATACCATCTTAAAGTACTGAATGACATTCTACGTTAATAGCAATCAAAATTAAAAGCGCCAATAATTCTTCAAATTGTGGCCAAAAAATAGAAAAATTAAATTAATTAAAAATGCCATCAAAAACATGCATACGCTTTTTAATTTCTTAAATCTCGATTTTTACCATTCAATTATATAAAACAATTACTTCGAATTGCACTATATTATATTATTTTGTAATTTCCTCTTTATGTTCTTAATTATTGTTATATATATATTTTTTTTATCACTAATTCTTATTGTCTGTTATTTTACCTGTTTTTATTAATACAAGCACATGGCGTTGTCGTCCTGCTTGGCTGGTTTTCAATAAATAAATAAATAATATCATACTAATTAAACAGATAAAGGCTTTTTAATTGTAAAAAAAAATATAAGGAAAATTTCTTTATGAATCTTGAAATTCCAAAATTTTTCACAAAGAATCCTCATAGCGGCACCACATTTTGTCTACTGATAAAAGTTCACCGCTGTTGAAGAGATATTTCGTATCTTCAAATGCCAATTAGCAATTGGAGTCATGCATTATTTTAGAAGTTTTCGAAATCATTAAACTAAACCATCAATAATCTTTTTGATAAAAACTGCATATATAATTGTCTTCTCAATTTTTGTTCAACAAATTATCTTATAAAAACTTTATTAACAAGGCCAAATATAGGAGATATGATGATAAAATAAGTGATACTTTTTATATATTCAAAATGAAAATTAAAAACTACCATATCATAACCAGTAAGTTAAACATCTCCAAAAGGATATTGTGGGAATATGAAAAAGAAGGAATTGAAAAAGGAGAAAAATTCTGCAAACCTATACCTTCAACAATATAAAATCTACTTGAATAACAATAGGAAAAAAGTCCAAAATTTGACTCGTATAAAGCACCATTTAGAAGTTAGTTAATTGAAATAGCGCACAGCCTTAATAATGGCCTTAGCTGAAATACCATATAGATCAAGAAGCATATCCGGTGGACCAGAACGTGGCACACCAGTGACGCACAACATCTTAACTCGAACACCATTTTCTTCACCAAAAAGAGCAGATACAGCTTCACCAATTCCTATAATAAACATTAAAAGCAATAAAAGAAAATTTTATCATATTAAAAAAAAAAAGAAGAGCTAAACTGATATACTCCAATAAATAAATAAAATTTAAACAACAAAAAAATTTAGCTAATAAAAATAATGAAAATATAAAAAAGCATGACAAAAGAATTAATATTGAATTACCTCCGGCTGGATAATGGTCTTCCACTGTAATGACCCGTCCACCAACTCGTTTAGCGTGTTTTTTTATTGTGTCTCTATCCAAAGGCTTGATCGTAAATGGATCAATGACTGCAACATTAATACCATCAGTGGCCAACTCATCAGCTGCATTCAGACATTCGAACAAAGTCACGCCAGCACCAATCAGAAGAAACTGGTCCTTATCAGACTGCCGAATAACCTAAAAAAAACAGCTCGAGGCAAAGAAAACATAGAAAAAACCAAAATTTAATTTTATTCAATTATTATCATCAAAAATTTCAGAAATGATGGCAGTGACTGAAGGAAACTCCACAAACCAGTTTTTTTAATTTGTTAAGACATAAATAATCAACTGACAAGTTTTTAATAATTATATTGAATGTAGCAATGAGAAAAATTTATCGCCTAAATTATGAACCTTGAATTAATTTATGAACTTTCTCCTTTTTAAAATTACCTTAGCTTTCCCGATTTCGAAAATTTCATCGTTTTCATATATAATTGGTGTGGCAGGACGTGAAGTCCGAATGAATACTATGCCATATATATTAGCAGCCAGTTCCGTGGCCCGTTCAGTTGCAACAGCATCGGAAGGATAAAAAATTGTCGAAGTAACTATAGCCCTATAACCAGATAAAAAAAATTTATAGGCCAGTTAATTTCTCAGATATCATGAACATAGAAAACATCATGGATGCAACATCCATACGACTGTTGCTCCTTGATGAAAACAAACATAGTCACCACAATTAGATTCGATTGATACCAAGGATACACCTATATTTCTAGCTTACAATGGAATTATTCTATTCTAGCGATGTAGTCAAGCGAATCAGAAAATGGACAATGCCATTTGAAGATGATAATAAATGATAAAATAAGAAATGACGACCTAAAAAGTGCTAAATCTTCAAGACCCATTTGTGATGGACCATCTTCACCAATTGAAACACCAGCATGTGAACCAACACATTTGAGATTCGAGAACGAAATTGCGGCCATTCTAATTTGATCGACAGCACGTGAGAAAAAGACCGCAAATGTACTAAAAAAAATTAATAACCTTGAACTCAATTACGATTGAAAAAATATGAAAAAATTCTTTGATATGAAATTCACGGTCGGCAATATTAATCAAGATTAACGAGTCGATTTGAAATTCATTATGTATAAAACTAAAAATTAACCTAGTGAATGGAATAGCTCGATTGCGGCATGCAACTCCAACCGCTACACTCACCATATTTTGCTCGGCGATAAAGCATTCAATGAATTGCTCGGGATGTTTGTCAAGCATTTTTTCGCTAAATGTCGAATTTTTCGTATCAGCATCTAAAGCAATTACGCGTGGGCAAACATCTCCCAGTTTTGCTAATGCTATACCATAAGCCATACGTGTTGCGACCTGAAAAAAACCAAGATATTTATTGCAAAATTATTGTAAAATATATAGTGAAATTGATGTAACTATGTATGCGCACGCTTTTTCCTATTCTCGCTTTATGTCCTATCTTCTATTCTACCTATTCATTTGTCTTTCGAAAACGTAATATTTTATTTTTTCTTCCTTAATAATTTACCACTATGTTCTCGCTAGGCCAGCTCCGTTACTATGTCGGACCAGGATAAGCAAAAAAATGCTTGCCAAAAGTCTTTTCTTTTATTAATTTAACAATGAAAAAACCGAAGCGAAATCATAAAAATCAACATAAAATAATGCCAAGTTTTTCGTTATATTGGCCCACCCATACATTTGAACAAAAATCTTATTCGTTTGATGTTAAACAAAAAAAACAAAATAAATTTAGGAAGAACACCTTATCACTTATTTTATACGCAGGTGGTGCTATTTTGATATTCCCTATATTAAGGTCCACTGATGGAGCATCGTCAATTGGTTTTTTAATCGATAACTTGCCTCGACCATTTTTGTTAACGATTTGCGCTTCAATGCTGGCTATGGTATCTAATGGAACTGGTTTGCCATGCCAATTGTTCTAAAAATTTCTCAATTTCTAAAAAAGAAAGAAAGAATAATCGCAGAATGGTGTAATATTAAAAATATTTAAAAACTACCATTAAAATTACCATAATTATTTGAGTATTTTCACAAAATAACTAATATTGAATATAAAAAAAAACAACTGCTTAACTCACCGATATATTTTTGCTTATAAAAAATTTCATTTTACCTCATTTTCGATATTAACAATTCCCTTTCCTTTAAATGTCTTTGCAATAATAAATGTCGGTTTGCCTTTCATTTCTCTAAAACAAAAATTTCACAGATAGAAAAAAAATGAAAACCGGAAAAGGAAAATATATTTCAGACAAATAAAAAAATATTGATATACATAAAAATATATAAAAATAAAAATATATAATTTATATATATAAAAATATATAAAATAAATATAATTTTTTAAAAACTACAATTATTAATTTATATGAAATTAACTAATGAAATTTAAAAATATCTAAAAATATTTAAAAATTTGCAAAAAAACGAAACTATTTGCTATAAATAAAAAAGAAATATAAACCGTGCACAACGATAAGCACGCAACAATTCTTCCACTTTATTCCCATCGACGATAATAGTGTTACAACCAAATGCTTCGAAACGTTTTGCGCATTTCTCGACATCATGACCGAATAGCGTTTCCTGAGTTTGACCAAGGCGATTCAAATCAACGATTCCAAGCAAATTATCCAGGTTGTAATGAGAAGCAAACGCTAAAATATTTTTTATTTACATATAAATAAAATAAACAAAAGAAATTTTCGGTAAACAAAAAAACAAACCTGAAATTGATAAATAATTCATCAGTTAATCAATCATAAATTTCAAATTACCATGAACAACTGACATTTTAAAAATTTACAATCATTCCTAAAATATTTATGACAAATTATCAAAATATCCTAGAATGGTCAACAACTATACCGATTGCTTCCCAAATAGAACCTTCAGCACTTTCGCCATCACCAATTAGACAATAAACACGATAAGATGCCTGAAAACTTTCATGCATACTTTCATTAGATCACATTTTCATGTTGTATAATGCCAGTACATCAATGCCAATAAAGGGATTATAAAAAAATGGTCCACTCTATGCAAAAATAAAAATAATGAAATTAGCGTAACAAAAAAAAAAGTGGAACCTTGTCCAAATATTTTCCGACATAAGCCATACCAGCTGCATTCGACAATCCTTGACCTAGGGAGCCCGTTGCGACATCAATAAAATTAAGCCGAGGAGTTGGATGACCCTCAAGATCCGAGCCAAGTTGTCGCAATGACATCACTTGTTCATGAGTTAAATGACCGGCTTCTTCCCATGCAGCATATAAAATCGGACATGCATGACCCTATAAACAATTTTTATGCAAAAAACGATCTATAAAATTGCAATCAAAAATATCGCTGCGAACCCACTCCCTATTTCTTCATTTCCAAGTGATTCTACGACAAAAGACAGTCGAAATAAAAGTGCTACTGGAAGAAGAAAAAAAAGATCATCATCACTCGTTGTTCCATAGTTGTCACATGAATTTTCATGACTAAAATTTGAAAATTCCTATAAATTAGTATGAAATTAGCAACTTTAGAGAGGACGAAACGATCAGATGATGGATGTTTTGGTTCGTCTTTCAAATATCGCATTTCGTCAAAGAAGAGTGTAGCAACAATTTCAGCAGCCGAACACGAGCTCGTCGGATGACCTGATTTTGATGCACAAGTCATTTGTATAGCCGATATACGCATACGATTTGCTGCATCATATAATGCTTGAATATGTTCCTTGTTATATTCCATCTTCGAATTGTTAAGTAAATAATTAGTTCTATAAAAAGTTAACGTAAATTAAACGTGAAAAAAAAGCACCAAAGTTACTGCTGCCCATATAACCGAAAAGCTCAAACAATTTGACGTAAATTACATGTAAAATAAAGCCATATTAATACTCATATATAACTGGAAAAAATCGAAATTTTTATATTCTTTTTTTCAATGACTAATTAAAAAATGCATTTTAAATCAAAATTTTATATCAATAATTAATATTTTAATTAAAAATTATTATATAAATTATATAAAATTATTATATAAAATAAAATCATATATTATATTACATTATATTAGTAGATATAAATTATATTAATTAATATATTAATTAATTTTATAAAAAAATCGGAATAAAATTTACTACGAATGAAATGAATGAATAAATGAATGAAGTCAGGCGAGTAAAGTAAATAAAGTAATGTAAATATGATCTCCATAGTGATAAACGAAATAGTAACTTTCCACAGAAATTTATAAACTTTTTAAATCGTATAAAATTACTTTTGAAAAAATTTTACATAAAAATACAAATATAAAAATATAAAATATAAAAAATATAATAAAAATATAAATATAAAAATATAAATAATAAATATAAATAATAATTTTATATATTTTATATAATAATAAAATACAATATATGATTTTATATAATAATAATTTTATATAATAATTTTATATAATATAATTTATATAATAATTTTATATTTTATATAAATAATAATAAATAATAATTTATATAAAATTATTATAAAAATTAATTTTATTAGAAAGTTATTTAGAAAGAAATTAGAAAAAAATTTATTGGAAAGAAAGTTTATTTTGAAAACGCTAAAAATTTAAAAAAAAATTTATTTTTACAAAATGATTATTGATGGATTATTCTTTATTATAGACGTATTAAGAATGACACGAACTTTCTTGACTGTCCACACACCGATCTTCTTTCCTCAACCCTCAGTCACTTGTAATTCTATCACTAGTCTGGCAAAAATTTAACAACAGTTTTAGCAGAGATAGGTTAACCAAAAACGATATGGTACATTAAACAAGCACCTATGATAAACCTTAACCTGTGATAAACTTCGACTCACTGATAAACCTTGAACGTCTCCTAATCCCCTCCCCTTCCTCCAACCTGCAACCCAGCAACCAACCAACCAATCAACCACTATCTTGCTCAATATATTCGTTCTAGGCAAACCTATTCCCACATTAAGAGAGGAGGAGAAGAAAAAGAGGAAGAAGAATTTCTATGAAGAAAACGGAGAGAACATAGATCGCCATGAAAGAGAGAACGTTGCCATATATAGGCGTGAAAATTAGAGATAAAAATTACCTATGAAATATAATGGAAGAAAGGAGTGTACTTGGTAGAATAGAGAAAAGGAGAGTTCGGTAGAAAACTGGGAAATTAGTTGTATGCTACTATTTCGAAAGGGAAGTTGAGCGGTATGTAGCGGTACAAAAATGTGCTCAAACGGTGCATTGTAGGTTCGTTTCATGACAAAGGTGGAAGTGAGTGGTCCGAGCGGACCCACCTGCACCTTTTGTCTCCGAATAATTCTTGCAGTATAATGAAATCAGCGATAAATAAATAAATAAATAAAGCTGGGAAGAGGAATTTACTTAAGAAAATACATAAAACATGAAAAATGGAAAATGAGACTCATAGCGAAATTTTTTAAAATCAAAATTATCAAAAAAAATTTTTAATAATTTTAATTTAATTTTAATTTTTGCAATTTTTAATTTAATTCTCATTAAATTTAATTGTTTGATATTTTAATATAATATAAAATGAAAAGATAATAAAAAATAATAAAGATTTAAAAAAAAAATTAATTGATTTAAAATTGCTAAATATTTTAATTAAAATAAGAATTTTATAAAGAGGAAATCAAAGAACAAGAAAAATAAAAAATATGCCTATAGGCCCGGCCCATAAACCTATTTTAATTTAATTACGTTACGATATACTATATTTTTTAAATATATTTAAACTAATTACGAGATTTGGAGAATAGAATGGCTCAATGGTTTGTTACTCAATTCTGAACGCCGATGCTGAGGTTGTTTTCTCAGCAGGAATAAACCTGTCCAAAAATCCAAAATGAGCGATGCTGGCAATCCACCTGTAATTCTATTGCCAAATGTCCCCCTTGCATATTTACCTTGCACAATAAGCCAGCGAAAGATTAAAAAAAAAAAAAACCTAATAGAACACCGTGAAAGTCTTCACGTAAAAGTCACGTAAAAGTCTTTCATACACGCTGACCGATGAAAACCGATGAAATAGAAATGAATGATAATGGTACTAGCGATACAGTATTAATAGTAAAATTCTGTGAAATCTTACCGGAGCACTAGAATTGCAAACGAAAAGAGCTAATCCAAATCACTTATTTGATGCCCTTATTTCTATGAAAATACCAAATATGAGGTCAAGGGTCAACCTCATAATTGTGAGAAAATGAGTCTTCAATTATTATGCTTCAATGAAAAAACCGATTTTACAATTAGCAAAATTTTCATTTCTCCATGAACCATCATAATTGAATTCGATTATTGTATCGAAGAAGAAGAATCCGAGTGACCAGGAAAAAAGAGGAAACCAAGTCAATTATATCAGTTGCATATTCCTGGACTCTTATAAATCGAGTATCGCAACCTGTCGACCTGTTTGCATTTTAGGTAAACACATTACGTATAGGTATACGCATATGGGTAGTAGGTTTTTTATAAATGTGTCTCAGCCGAAAGATGGTTTCAATAAAAAATTTCTACCTATCCACCAATCCAATTTTCACTTAAACCTATCCAAATAATTTCCGCCTTAAATTTCAGATTTATGTACGAATTTGAAATGTAAAAGAAAAAAAGGCGCGCATCATAAAATATTTTTAATTATAGGTCAAACGATTTAAGAACCATTATTCTTTAGTGATTATTGTTTATTCTTCGACGACAGTAATCGCTAAAGCGCTAAAAAGTGACCGCTAAAAATTATAGCAAAAATTTATTGAATGCATTGAAGAATGGTACTTAATAAGATTGTTGAAGATCGACTGAGGAGAAGTGGTACTTAATCAAATCGCAGTTTACAGTTAGTCCGAAAGAATTCGATGTTTTTTTAAAAAGATATTTGAAACATGAAATTGCTTGAATGTCCCGCAAAATAATCAAATCATTGATATCTTAAAAATTTTACTTAGGTAAGATGAAAAGTAATTAATAATCACTTATTATTTATTATCATTGTTTATCAATCATTATTCATAAGAAAATTTTCATATCATTTTGAATTATTTCTCGGAGGAAAAAAATCCATTTAGAGGAACCATTTCATTTTTAATTTCTGAAAAGTAATTTATATTTTCTAGGAATGCTTACCAAAATACTTGGCTAGGAGGATCATTTCGCTTATCTGATCGGAAAGATTTTGTTAAAAAACCATTTAACAATAGATAGGTCACATGAAATTTTAAAGGATAGGTCCATTCCTACTGGAAAGAACTCTCTTCTTTAGCCCTCGTGCTAGCGTTTCAAGACATTCGAGACAGTACCATCCCACTGGACCTTCCTAGCCAAGCATATTCATTATTTCGATACGAAATTCATCGGCTTTTTTGAATTGTTTGAATTAAATTTATAGAGCGAGCAATGGAAAATGATATTTATCAATTTTAATCAATTTTAATGTTGTACTGATTTTATTTGCAGATAATTAATTCATTCATTCTTCTACTGATAATAAATTTTGAAAAAAAATACCATTTGCCAATTATAACCGATTTTTTTATTTTCAGAATCTCAGAAAAATGATATTTTAAAACTTTTATTAAAAATTTTATTATTCCATTAAAATTTTAATTTTTATTAAATTTTTACTATTTTTATTAAAAATATATTCATCCTTCTATTATTTAAATTTTTCGAAATGATCTTTTTAAAAATAAGAATTTCATTTTGTGCCCTATTTTTTTTTTAAATTTTAAATTCATTAATGCCTCACTCCATTTTATTTTTTGATTTTTTCACTCAATGTACATCGCAGAGCTAAAAAACAAAAAATAGTCCTTTTTCTATAAAATCTAAAATTAAATATCTGAAATAATATAAACGATATGCTTTAACGATAACCGCTTATAGTTGATTCGATAGCGATAATCATTACCGCACTTAAATAAATTTAGTTTCTAAGATAGAAAGACCTGAACTTTCGGAGAGTCGAAAATGAATAATAGAAAAATAATTTTTACTGATAAGAAAATGATAAATTACCAAAAAAAATTTGAGGAAGGTAATGATATGATATAAAATCGAATAACTCTGAATTTATCAGCAAAACAAGAACCAAAAAAGCTAATAACAATCAAAAAAGAATTTTTGATTGTTATTTTGGCTATTTTAGAATTAGATAAAAAACAGCTATAATAAAAAAATCCTTTTTTGGTTAAAATTGTAAAAAATTCAGATTTATTTTATTTAATTCAGATTTATTTATTCATTTCGAAAAGAATAGTAAAATAATGATGATAATCATTGAAATTTTCCGTATCCTCCACCGCCGGGAGTATGCAATTCAAATATATCCTAAAATATGATTCAAACTTCTCCTGGAATTAAAGTTTTTAGAGTTATAAATGATAATGAAATGATAATGAAATCGATATTGCAATTTAGAATTTAAAATTTAGAATTTAAATGTTTCTCTATAAAAAATTTAGAAAAAACTTACACCAGAATGAACATCGATACTATTTTTACCACCTAAATTGATCAATCTGCCATTTTTTAGCCGTAATAAATTGAGGCCCCGTTGACCAGGGCATCCACCATTTAAACCATAAGGTGCAAAGACACGTCGTTCAGTTAGGATAGAAAGGCGTAACGAGCACCGAAATTGAATAAAACGCTTACAACCATCACCTCCCTTATATCTACCTTTACCGCCTGAATTCTGACGGATTGAAAATTCGCGTAGAATAACTGGATATCTTTAAAGAATTTTAATTAAAAAAATTACAAAAATTGAAAAATAAAATTATTTATTATGATATGGCAATCTTTTTTTTGGAAAGTAACCTCAATTCAAACAATTCAGGGTCGGTTATTCTTGTATTTGTCATATGTGTATGTACTGCTGATCGACCATTAAATGACGGACCAGCGCCAGCTCCACCAGCTACAGTTTCATAATATCCTCCAATAATATCATTACCAAATGTTATATTGTTCATACAACCTGCAAATGAATTAGAAAAGTTAGGAAGAAAAGGAAATAGAACGAGAAAACGGAAAATGATAAAGGAAATCTCATTTAACAATTGATTCGAACCGAAAAGAATCACCAATTCAAAAAATGCCAAATGAAATTTTAGAAGAGAAAAATCTGACCTTGTGATGCCGCAACAGCATTGAAAGCTAGAAAAATCACATCGCAAATTCGTTGTGATGTAAGTACATTCCCACCAACAACTGCAGCTGATTTGTCTGGACATAATATTGTACCATTAGGAATCTTAACCTGTGAATAAACCTGATGAATATGCGAAAAGAAAAATTATAAGGCTTCTCTTTTCTATGAATACTTATTGAAAGAATTCACTAACCTGTATTGGTGAAAGGCATCCGTGATTTAGAGGAATTTCACTATCAACTAAGCATCTTAGACAATAAATAATTGATGCCATAGTAACAGAAATTGGTGTATTCCAATTTGAATAAACCTCAGGACCTGTACCATCGAAATCAAATATCGCATCACCCTAAAAATAAAATCTAATCAGTTTTTTTCTAGGAAATAAAATCTGACCAGTTTTTCTCGAATAAAGAAAGTACATACGGTGCCACAGTCTATTTTAATAGAAAGAGCAATTGGTGTCCCATCGTCCATGAAATCGATAGCTTGTAAATGAGCTATTTCTTCCTTTTTTATTTTTTTAGCGACCTCAAAATTTTAAAATGGTTACTTGAAAAATTATTCAGAAGTTAAATAAGAAAATTTAAAAGTAAATAATCAATAAGCAGCTTTTTTTAACAATTAACCTCCATTAAAAGCTTGCGAACAGCAGCCTCTGCATTACTTTGTACATGATCCATATATGCATGCACGACATCCAAACCATAATGATCAATTAATTCACAAACAAGATTTATTCCCTGAATTATGGATCTGATATAATGAATAAAAATCGAATCTTAAAATTCTAAATTATAAAAAAACAAAAATCGAAAATTAAGCCATGAAAAACAAAACTTTTTGGTTGGCGGCTATTTGAGCCTTAAGATCAGACAAATTATCGCTAACGTTTCGCGCACCGGTGCATCCTGAAAAATTTACTTTTATTTATGTTTTTTGCAAAAAAATCTGGAGAAAAACGTGAAATTTTAGTAAAAAAAAATGAATTTTATTTAATCAAAATCACCAGGAAAATTTCGAGGAGCAGTAAGCTTTTCAACCAACGCATTTTCTTGGAAAATGCCATTTTCAACCACTTTAAAACTCACAAAAATCGCACCTTCCTGGAAATTTTAAAAACCTTATAAAAATCAGCTTTAAAAAAATAATATCGAATTTTTTATTTTAAAAAATTTACCTGTTGAAGACAAGTAGAATGTGGAGGCATTGAGCCAGGTTCTAAACCACCAATGTCTGCATGATGACCTCTGTTAGCAACAAAGAAAACTGGAGTTTTAAAATTTTTGTAGTAAACCTGGAAATAAGAATTTTTATTTTAAACAATTCTCATAATAATTAAGTAAATGCCTTCCATATAACAAGCTAGAAAATCTTTAGAAAATCTTTTGTTGTTTTGTCCAAAACAACATTTGACTATGACAAATATTCAAAAGTAATAATGATATAAAGATATAATTAGCAAAAGACAATTTTAAATTTCGAATTTATAAAACAGAAATACCGGTGTAATTACGGTTAAATCTGGAAGATGGGAACCGCCAGCACATGGATGATTGCTTAATATAACATCACCATCAGAAAATCCTTCATAACCAAGATGATCGATTTGATAACGAACTGCCGCTTCCATACCACCTAAAAATTACAAGTTTATTTCTGAAAAAAACTTTAATAAAAACATAAAAACTAAAAAAATTAAGAAAAATGATAAAACTCCTACAATCTTAGGTGCACTCCAAATAAATTAGATAAATTAACAATTTATTCAATTGGTTAAAAATTTGGAAAATTTACCAAGATGGACCGGAATATGTGGAGCATTGGCTACTAAATCACCAGTAGGGCCAAATAATGCACAAGAAAAATCGAGACGTTCCTAAACCTTCTCGTATCATTTCATTTCTTCCTTTATTCATTAACTTCTTTATCCTTTATTTCGACCACATTTACATTCATAAACTCAACTAAATGAACAAGTTTGAAATGGAAAAAAGAAATTGCATAATCACTTTGATGTTGGTTGAAATAGATGTCCGTCGCAGAATATGACCCATTTGTTCCGCAATAGACATGAATCGATGATTGAAAATGGACAATTGGATAGGATCCATATTTCTTCCTAAAAAAGCTATGATCGCTGAATAAAAAAGCAAGCTTTTATAAAACTGCGATTAAGGCAGATCAAAAGTCTTGACGCAAACTAACCAATCGGCAAACGTGTCTGATCGCCAACGAAGATTTCAATATCACCTCTCTTTGTGATTACAGCCCGACATTCTGGTTCCACCACAATTGTGCTGCAACCCAATAAAATTCTAGGAAATATCGAATTCTAGGAAATAGGAAATATCGAATCGAATGGATTATTAGTATTCTAATCCAATTCTAAAACAAACGTTGCTGCATCGATAATGATAGCTGGTCCAGTTACTGAATGACCAAAAAATAGATCTCGCATATCATAAACCGCTGTATTCATCTTTTTCTCCTACAAATCGTGTTTCTAATGTGTAAAAAGCGACTATGGAAAAACTTTTAAAATTTATTAGTAAAGATATTGAACTTTTTACTTTGAATCTGATCTGACATGTAGTTTTCACTGGTAATTTTTTGTTACACTCGCTAGATACATTTATATTTTCAATTATGGAATTTGATCCAATAGCGCGAACTCTAAATGAATTACTCTAAAGTTTAGTTAAGAAATCAGAAAAAAGAAAATTAAAGAAAAAAAAGAAAAAGGAATCACCGAACGTCATCAACTATTATCTCACGACCAGGAATAACAAATCCGAATTCTAAATTATATGCGTTATTGAAAGCATCGATATAATCTTGTAATAATCCAATGCCATTTGTAATAGAGGGACAAATTAGAGAACAATCAGTTCTGAAAAAATTCCTTAAAATCAAATTTTTTAATAGAAAATCTCTCTGGAAAAATCGTAAATTATTATTTTTTCATTCTGATGAACCTCAAATTGAATTTACTTGGCATATCGCAAATGTAAAAAATATTCGAAGCGAGTGTGCTTAGCGATAAATCCCAATTTTGCTAATTCATTTGCTGTCTTATTTTTTAACAAAGTTAATCGTTCTTTAACGTATGAATCGAAATTTTCTACAAAAAATTATTTATATACAGAAATATCGTAACACCTATTTAATACCTATAATTTAATAGATTTCAAATTATTTACAAAGAAAATTAATATAAAAATTAGTATTAGCGACTGAAACAATAATATTTGCGGATTATATAGGAATAGAACAATTAAATACATTAAAACTGAAGATAAACCTTGTGTAAGCTGTATTCCAAGAGGTTCTTGAGCCTCATAAACAGTATCTGCCAATGCTAGACCATAAGCAGACAGAATTCCAGAAAAACGATGTATAAAAATAGTCTTTATACCTGAAAAGATCAAAATAAAAATCAAAAATAAAATAAAGAGGGAAATTTTTTAAAGGTTATATTATATATTCGAAAAAAAGACTCATAATAAAAATACCGAGAGCCTTTGCTATCGAACAAGCATGCTGCCCACCAGCACCACCAAAACATGCAAGAACATGCTGAGATGTATCGTAACCTTTAGCCTTAAGAGAAATATTTTAGACTTCGGCCTTAAATTTTTGAAAATTAAAAATGTAGCAATATGATAGCAATATGTAGCAATATGATACAGTTAAAGACAACAATATGATTTACTTGTGAATCATATTACCATATTTCAAAAAGCTTACCACAGTTTGTCTTAAAAGTTAAAATCTTTTTCATCCTCTAACAGCAATGGCTCTACTGACTTCTAAGAGATTTTTCCTTGCTCGACAACATAATATAGAAGTATAAACTAGAGTATCGCTTATTATTATTAAGATTTCACTTCAAGTGACAGGTCAACTCTGTCGAGGAAAAGGAATCGAACTCAATCTGGAATAAATCTGGCCAAAGCAATGCACCGTTCGACTACTCAAAATTTCAGGTTTAAATATGGCAATTTAATAATAGATATGGCAAATAGCAACTATACCTGCGTGACTGATTTAATTGCTCTGCACATTGTCTCATTCGCTACGTCAATGAAACCAAGAGCTAAATCTTCAACTGTCATTGATTGGTGCTTCGTTTCTGAAGCATTGTCGTAAAAATCATTAACTTCCTTCAAAATTTGCATCATAGCTTCAAACGCTGCTTCACTATAATTCAGTAATTCAGTAATTTCAGTAATTAAAAAATTTAATTCAATAATTCAGTAATTCAGTAATTTCAGTAATTAAAAAATTTAATTTCAAATATATAATATGATTTATAATTTCGAACGTAAAAAATATTTCAAATATTAAATAATTATACACAATAATTTAGGTCATCAATTTAAATTGAATATGGCTTCAAAAATACCGATCAAGTGATTGATTTTCATTAGAACCAAAAATGCATGGAAAATATTCAGGTAGAATTCGCCCAAGAATGACATTTGCATCAGTAATTGATAATGATCCACCTTTTCGATAACAAACAGGTCCCGGATTAGCACCTGCTGAATCAGGACCAACAACTAATAAACCATCACGAAAGTATAAACGCGACCCCCCACCAGCAGCAACTGTATGTATATCTAACTGAAAAATGTTAAGCAATGAGATGAAAACAAATATAAACTTGTTACAAATATAAATATAAATATAAACAAATACAAGTATATTTAAAGGATTAAAGGAATTAAAATGGCTTTAGCTCATTCCAGAGTGCAGCTGCTAGGATTACTGCCAGACCATTACTACTCGCGGAAGGACTAAACCTATAGTTCATCCAGATGATGCTAGGAACTCATTTGCATTTCTATCGCCAAGTGACCACTTTGCAAAACTTATCTGGTCTAACAAACCAGCGGAGTGTTTAATCAAAATTCTCGGAAAAAATTTAAAGGATCAAAAAAAGAAAAAAACCTGTGGAGCCTGTATTGTAATTCCGGCTGTAGTTGTTTCCATAACATGAGTGAATTTTCCGGCGAAACGGCTAACCTAAAAATTTTCATTATCTATGCAGAAAAAAGCTAACATTAACAAATCCCCTTCTCACCTTTTTTCAAAAAAATAAAGTAAATTATAGTTTATTTTAATGGATAAAATCAAATGCGAATTAGCGTTGTAGAAAAAAAGCAAAAATATAAAAATACATTTAGAACTTGTAAAAAAAAGATAGAATTACATCGGTGGAAGTACCTCCCATATCAAAACCAATAACTGGTTTCTTTAATACATTATCATAAGCTGTGAGGGCCATTCCAACTATACCTCCTGCAGGACCAGAAAGTATCGCTCGTGATCCACAAAAGCTGAAAATAATACTATTTTTGATATAAAAAAACGAAAACAGAATTTGTGAGAAAAACTTTCAAAAAAAAAATTTTGATAAAATTATTAAAGAAAAACTTAGATTTAAAAATTACTTTTCAACAGCAGATAATCCACCATCACTTTGCATGAACTGAACAGATATTCCTTCTAAATTATTAACGAAGCCTGCTTTAAAACTAGTGATATATGCATGAATGACAGGGGTCAAATAAGCATCCACACACGCTGAAATGTTTAAGCGATGGTACTTTTAGCGATACTTCATGATACTAAAAATAATGCCACGTTGAAAGGATCGTTAGCTTGGATTTATCTTTTCATTCCTTTCATTTTAATTCATTTTCATTTCCTTCATTCTTTTATTTCTGTTTTCTTCCACTACCAAATTATTTAATAAGTTATATGAATCAATAGATATTCAAGATGCATTCTCCCATGAGATGCTATTACTATCCTTTCTAGGATCGTTTCCCATTCTTTCCTCGCCAATAAGTGAAAATCCACGTGGGTCGATGAAAGACCTTTATACAAAAATTGAGAAATTTATCTATATTTTGTACAGTTCGGCTGATGTTGGAGATTTATTTTTTATTTGTGTACTTCTACCACCGAATGACTCTTTGGCAAAAACTACTAAAGTATGCGAGCTAAAGCTAAAGTATGCAAATTTAACGAAAAAAATAATAAAATAAAATAAAAAAATAAGATGACTCTTAGATAAAAAAGGAATATCGTATATATACATAATATAACAACATTGTAATTTAATTTAAAACGATATGATTGAAGAAAAAAAGAAAAAATACTTGTAAATCCTCGCGGAACAATCTTTAACATTGGCATTACTTCACTCGAAAGCGATATATTTTCGAATCCAATATTCCTTGCAATTTCTGCGATTAATTTTTCATGATTCGGATATCTGTAAGAAAATCATACAAAATCAACTATTGATCAAATAACTGCGATAATCTTAGGTAAAATCAGAATTGGTCAAGACTGATATTTCTCGAGCTTAGATCGAAAAGAAAATCTATATATTTCTTTATTTTCCCATCACTTCACTTTATTTTCTAGGTCTTATTCCTACTATTATTTTATTATATTTATGCATATCTATCAGATATTGTTCGAAGATTAGATCCACGCCTGTTTGTGGGTTTTATCAGGCAACCAAAGAGGTTGTGTCACAATAAAAAAGAAAGATATATATATATGGCTTTTGATAATATAATTTAGAAAAAATTTACATGTACGAATGAAGAAGAACGACAGCGACTGATTTAATACCTCTTCGATATATTTTTTCTAATTGGTCAGTGATAATTTTTTCATCAGGTTTCTTTTCAATAATAATCTGAAAATATATGCAATCATTGAAAAACCTAAAAATTAGAATTCTGTTTCAAATATTATTTTTTCAGAATTTTCATCAAAAATCACTTTTTCTTTCCTATGAATGTTCAATCAAATTAGATGGAACGATTTCAATGAATTAAATGAATTAGCAAACTTCTTCGCCATTTGATGCCATAACTCGAAAAGCTTCAAAATCACTCTGACAATGTTTGTTGACAAGAATAAGTCGTTCATCAATTTCGATTACTTCTTCATAAAGTAATTCGGGTAAACGAATATCGAATTCGAATATCTGTGGCCGCGATTGATTGCCAATAAAAAGTAAATCCTTAAAAAAAAATGGTTTTAATAATAAAAATAATTTTATAGTAAAAGTAGTCAAAATAAATAATTGTATATAATAATTAAAAATAAACAATTATAATATAAATAAATATAAAATAAATAAAATAAATAAAAATAAGAAAAATAAAAAATAATATTTAACAACTGAAAACATTCAAAATCAATACCTAAAAAATAATATAATTGAAAAAATTTTCATTTATAATTTTTAAGATATTTTAAGATATTTTACTTTATTATAAACAAATAAAAAAAGAGAAAATAACAAGTAAATTAATTAATCAAATGGAATAATAAAATAGGCAAAAAAGTGAAAAAAAGAATTCACTTTGAAACCTTTGGTGATAAGTAATGCAATTCTTGCACCATTCCTTTCGAGAAGAGCATTGGTTGCAACTGTGGTACCCATTCTAACCCAAGAAATTCGATCTAAAATAAATATTTTTTATGCCTTTCAATTAATGAATTGCATGAATTGCATGAATGCATGAATTTAATAAATGGAATTTGGAACAGATATCATAGCTGAAAAATTTGCGAACATCATTTCGCATCTTCCCGGCTATAATACACACAAATCTAATATATCGCTGGAAAGCAATGACCAATGAGAGAGAAATAGTTCGAAAAGCTACCATGTCTACCAAAATTAAATCCCACGTACATACATTTGTGTGGAGAAAACCTCACTAGACAGGTCACCCTTGCTCCACAGACAGTTCAGCGATGTCCTTTCTTTTGCCTCTTTTTCATTTTCTTTTTTCTTCTTTTTCCTTACATTTAGATGTTCTTGATATAGGAATCTTTACACCAATCACTTTTTCACTTTCATTTCCCTCACCAACGGCACCTTAGTCACCTCGTCTGAGTAGAACCACTTCGTGGCTCCAACCAGATAAAGATTTCTAAAGAAACAGAATCTTAATACTCAGTGGTTTTTTTGACACAATTAGCTTTACTATTTGATCATCCCAAATTATATATTCTTATCTCTCGTAGAAATCGACAAAGATAAATTAGATAAACGGATAAATAGATAAATTCTTCGACTCATTCGAATCTTGAAATGCCATAGAAATTTGTAAGGAAGGAAATTACCTGTAGGAATTGGTGTTTCACGAGGTAGTATCACGCCGGTTTCCTCCTCAAGTACTCGTCGAATAGCTTCAGTTGGCGCATCCTGATAATTATTCCGATCTTCGGAAAGTAGTTTCATAATACGCGAAGTACCATCTGAACGATGGACATAAACATCGGTGAAAGTACCACCACGATCAATAGCAAAACCATATTTTAGCGGTGACATTTTATCGAATAAATCAATCAAATTACCAGGTTATTCTAAAAATTTTCAAAAGTTTTTCATCAAAATTTTATTCAAATATTAATTTTACGGTTTTTTTTTATACCTATTAAAACCTGCCCTATACGATGTTGGGATTCTATTTTCAGGAGGATTGATTTATCGTTCAAAAATCCGAGTGATTTACCTTAATTCCTATCTTCGAAATGATTCCCTGGAAAAATTTATCTGATCTGATAAGTTAAGAGGAAGTTAAGACCGAGAAATGGTAAGCATTCATCTAAACATTAATATTCGGCCCATAGCACAACGAAAGACAAGTGAGGTGTCACCTTTGGTGATTCCGGCAGAGTCTCTTCTCCATATTTTATTCAATTTCGCCGTTATTTTCTCACTAATAATTTATTCCATTTTTATGTCTCTTTATTTTGTCGCATCTCAACATCAAATTCCTTCACCAAGAATTTCTTCTTCTTTTAATAAAACTCGCTGTTTCTCGTTTGGCTGAACCTATTAATTGTTAGGCGGAGGCCCTCTCGTCAGAGAGTTCCAAGGGAATCCAGGCAGGTCCTAAGCACCATTCATTCACAAAGAATTTCATCTCTTTTCCTTTTAAATTTTTCCTATTTTGTCTTCTATTCTTGCTTTCATTTTTTATAAACTTTCATTCTCATGGCTTTCTCTCATCTTGCGAAAGCTGAAAAATTTTAAAGTTCAAATTTTCAAGGCCTCGATAGATACAGCCAAGAGGAATTGCATAAGCGATCTAGCAACATATTTGGAACTTACGCAATGAAAAAAGATTGGCTTCAGCTAATTTCATATTTGGTTTCAGATTTCCAAGCCTCGAAAAGTCTTAAATGCTAGTGGGGACATCCATATTAATAAATGGTACCACCCGATAAGAGAGAAATAAATTTTCGATGGCATTTTTATAAAATAAACTTCATTTGGTCTTATTTATTTTTTATTTCATATATTTATTAATTTCTGCCATGAAAACAATCTGAGAATCAGTAATAATGGAAGCTGAACTATTTCTTTAATTTTTTTTGCACAGTGATAATGGAAAATAGGTGTAACATAAAGATGATGAAAAAAACCCCTCTCCAAAGCATGCACTAGGAAACCTAGGTAAGAAAGCAGTTTTACGGCCTTGACGGCGATTTTTACGGCCTGCGCATTTTGGTTGGCCTATTTAGGCGTTTTTAAATTTAAATGATTTTCTGGAAATGATTTTTTCCTATTCTTGATAAGATATCACATGTTAAAAAAATATTTTTCAAACCTCAATTATAATATCTTTCGGTCGATAAATTATCGATTTTAGAATTAAATATCGATCAAATATTTTAAACTCTTCAATTCATTTTAGTAACCAAGTTCATTAAAATATTCTTTAAAACATTAAAACCCTCTTCGTTTGATCAATAAAAAAAAATAATAATAATAAAATAATAAAACGTGGGTGCTGTATTTGAGACTTTCAAGGGGCCGTGGCCGCATTATCTCGTTATAATCCATCTATTCAAATTATATATAAGGAGTGGTTTTAATAAGATTGGATCATTGTTGCTTGGGACGTTGGCGGAGAGAGGTTGTTAAAATTTTTAGGGTGGTTTTGTTAGGTTTTAAGAAATGTCTGCGGAAATGAATAGGCCGATGGTAATTGCACAGCTCGGACCATTAATGAAAAACATTAATTTGTCATTCATCGTTATTGATATTGGTAAGTGCCTAAAATGTCGTTCGCAAATCTCGGATTTCTCTGGGAAGATTCTTAATTTCTTTTTAAATTTACAAAAAATCAATATAGGGGATATGTTGCCTAATTTTTTTGAATTTGAGTTTCCTCTTTTTTGAATTTTTTTGTTTTTCCAAATTTTGACGACTTTTTTGTTTTATTGAATTCATTAAAAATTTTTTGTTAGACATTTTCAGTTAATTTTTAGTACATGTTTCATTGTTTTTTCTTTCTTTTTTTTGGTTTGTATTATCGATATTTTGTTGTAAAAATATTTAATTTTTTGCGAATATTTTATTGCAAAAGGTTGTTTGAAAAATGGTTTGAAAATTTTGAGTGATGGCAGTTTTAGGACATTCAAGGCGAACACCTCAGGGTCATGACGTCAGAACGGTTCGCGTCGCGGATGCGACTGGCTCGATTAGTATGGGTGTTTGGGATGAACTCGGTGGTTGCATTTCAACAGGTGACATATGGCGTCTTAGGTTTTGGTTTTCTTGTTCGATAGTTTTGTTTTTTTACCTAGTTTTTGCCGCTAGATTGGAAGAAAAAGAAGGATGCAATTAGATGCAATTTTGGTATGCTTGTAAGCATTAATTGAAAGAAGTTTTAGCTTTGATTAAATTATGCTTATGAAATTGTGGAGCATCGAACATTTTAATTCGATAAAATGCGTTTCGGTCCACCATACCGTATATCATTTCTCCGTGTGGCTTATTCTAGCATGAAGAGAATGATGCCCGGATAAATCCTGCATATTCCTTGTCTTGATGCTAAACCTTTGTTGGCTATGGCTATCAGGAAAAACCATGCAGTATACACTATACATTTTTATTTGTAAATCTTTTGAAAGCTATGTAAAGGAGAAACTATTTTAAGTTTTTTGAGTATGGTTTTTTTATTGCAGGAATGGTTATACAACAGTATATAAGGGAACATTAAATTTATCATGCGGCAAACTTGGTGATTTGCAAAAAACTGGTGAATTCTTTATGCTTTATTCAGAATTACCAAATATGAGCGAATTTAGTGCAGAATTAGCGGCAAAATATCCAACATTACGAAAAGGGTCACCCGATGAAGACGTAAACAACGGGCAGTCAGGTAACAACGGCTCATCTGCACAAAATGCACCATCCGGTAATTCATCGGCTACGCAAAAAAGCCAACAATCATCAACACAAAGACCCATAAAGCGAACAGGATCACTGTCTATTTCTCACACTCAAATCACACGACGCGTTGATTTACCGTTTCCAAAAAATCCCAGACTATTATCATAGCATTAATTTTCTAGAAAATGTTATTATCGCATTGTCCACATTCCGCATTTGTTATCGGTTGTATTTTTCACTTTTTATATATATTGAGCGGTCAAAATGTTTTGAAATTATTTTGTAAAATATGTATGCATGTGTTATTGTATATTTTATCGATATTGAACGAGCAGTTTATCGAAACAAAAAGACTGAATAATAGCAAATTTATAAATACGGGCTGTTTCATAATGTATGTAGATAAATATTGATGTGTACGAGATGAAAGATGATACATATAAGAAATTCAAATATTCAATAAACAATCCTTCATTCGACTGTTTTTTTCATAAATATGTGAGAAATATGTAAAAAAAACGATCAAATCATTTATCAAATTATCAAAAACGGTGAAGTGAATTGGTAAGATTTTCTAACTGGTTAAAGGATGGAGGAGAAAAAAGCGTACGCAGTCGCCGATAAAAAGATTGTGGTTCATCGAAGCACGTTTAAAATTTAATCGATATTATTTATGCTTAACTACAGTTTTTCAACTCAACTAAATACTAAGTAGATCATTAAGAATAGGGAGGAATATTTAATAAATAAACGCATAAAATATATTTCGAATAAAATACAACTCACCGAATTTATATAGTTCAGTAAAAATTTGTGCTATAAACGTTTAATTTTAATATCATTTTTATTCGAATTCGTTAACGCTCCACAAATATTTGGTTTGATTTTCGTATAACGATTTCGCGAAAATGTACTATTTGCACAATTTGCACGATTCGTATCGCTTTTAGCGCTAATTTTTTGTGATCGTATAGTATATGGTTTCGAAATGGTTTCATTCGTATTAAGTCGAATTCCTGAACAATTTTCACCAGTTTCATCAGTTAAACCAATGTCTTCGTTTGACCCGCTTTCATTTGTATTTTCTTCAAAGCTAGTAGAAATTTCTTCTTCTCGACTTTGCACTTTTACAATCCTTTGGTTTTCCGTTTGCGCAAAATCCATGATATCAGACATTGAGCTAAACGCCTCATCATTGAGAGAATTGGAAGAATCGAATGATGTAGAGGCTTTACTTGTTAAAATATTCGATAATCGATTATCAGGAATTGAATCTACTTTAGTTCGTTTAACCATTGAAATCTGATTTGAACCATCTGGATTTTGCAAGGACGAATAAGACAGCCTAGAAGAAGTATTTAAATTTATTGGATTTTTGCTAATTATTTTCGAAGATCGTCGTTTCTGAAATGATAAATGAGGTGATTCTTTTTCACAATTATTCGAAACACCTTGCTTTGTACCATGAACATTAATAAGATCTGCCTGCTCATAAGTATTTGAATATACTACTGAAGCTTCCGGTTCTGATATATTATTTCCTCCAAAACTTTCAACCAGGAGAGCATCACGAATTATTTCAAGATCCTTTTTTGTTTCATCCTTTGGTGTCTTTTTCGTTGCAGCTGTTGACAAAAAAGGCTTGACCTTTATATTTCGTCGCCTCTGCACCATATTATCATTCGATAAACTGGAAGAGGAAAAAAATGTATTGACTGCACATTGCATTTCATTATTTCTTTGTTCGTCCTTGCCATTTCGTTCATTACCACTTCTAAAACGTTCAGTTGATAAAAATAATTTCTTTTTTCGTGTAATAAATTTTATTTAACAGATAATATCAATTTTACTGGAATACTTACTCTAAATTATTCTGTAATGTATTACTTTTCACATGCGTTGCAACTCCATGATTAGATTTTGCTCCATCATTCAGAAAATCACCTAACAAATAATGATTTTAAATACGCAGTCTAAATATTTATTTATATAAGAAAAGATGGATTGAAAAAAAGCAAAAAATTTTCTCGATTTTTCACTTACCAATTTTTTTTTCAGCTTTGACATTAGGCAAAACAGTTCGACGAAGATTTTTATTGAAACTTCCAGTAGACAAATTATATTTCAGACCAGTCTGGAAATATTTCATGAATTGAATATTTCCTTTATAAATTAAATTTTAAATAAAGAATAACAAACCTGCGAAGTACCAAATTCTTGTTTTGGACTCTTGGATGAAAACTCTGTACTACGGCCGCTACCATTAACTTTTACTGGTTCTTTTATCTTAGTTTTAAGCTCAGATTCCGATGCAGTAGTTAGAAAATCCGGGAATTCATCGACATTAAGAAGATCGTAGTTTATTTTTTTCGATAATTTTTTCTCCTGAACAATCGTGAAATACAAAGTTTTAGACGATCTATTATATTAATCATGAAATACAAAGTAATCGAAAAAAAACGAACAAGAGCAGTAGAAAATATAGAGAGCCATATAAAGAAAATATGATGGAAAATAGATGAAAAAAGTCTTAAAAAAGTGAAAATCTTATAGGAACAGAGAATATTTAGTTAGCACAAAATTCGTAAAGATATAAATTTATAGTCGTGATCTATCTTTCAATCCGGTAAATCATAAAATTGTACATCAATTTTTGAAAAATGAACAAAAACCTGAATGATTTGACCAACTGCTTCCTGAAATGTGGCGGCGTCTGTTCCTTTCTTCCGAGCAGAATTTTTATATCTTCGTTTTTTTGCTTTAGTTTGTCCATCTTTTTCCTCCTCGGCGCGCTCTCGTTGTCTAAAATTTTGAAAGAAAGAATATGGTAGAAATTAAATAATTAAATATAAATATTTTATTAGTTAAATATGCGAAACTGCCTCTTTGATTTGAAAAATCAATTCCGTCAAAAATCTGCTGTATCATTTCTCTAAACCAAATTATAAAATTCCTTCAAAATTCCAGAATTTATACTCCATGTCCACGCCATAATCTTTTTAAAATAATCTTTTTCTTAAACCTCATTTTAATATTCCTAAAGCCTATTTGCAGTCCCAATCACCAATTATATTCCCTTGATGCTATCATTGTATGCAATTCTGCTACTGTAGCTATAAATTTTGCGAAAGACGATGATGTGTATATAAAAGGACTGGGTGGAGATAAAAGCAGAGAATAGAGAGAGTTAAGGAAGAATGACGGAAATTTGTCAAATATAAAAAAAAATATAGCAGAACTCGAGAGAATGCTAAGGAAGAATAGCAAGTTTCAGTGGAAAGCTAAGAAGAATAATCAAAATACGATTCAAGTCTTTTATTGTATCTATATATAATTGAGATAACCTCTTTTCCATCTGAAATAAATGTTCCCCATGCACTTTCATCCAAAGTTTCGATTTTAATTCGACCTCTTCATTTGATAATATATAAGTGTCAATTTCATCATCGTTAATTCCTGTAGATAAGTAAGTTACAAATTTCCAAATATGAAAGAAAAATTATACGATAATCATACGACAAATCACATATTTAAATAAATTATCTGATAAGCCATTCTACCTGCCAAATCTAATTCCCCATTATCCAAATCATCAGAAACTTGAGAAACTTGACTGCTAAAATTTTCACTAGATGGTTTCAATGGATCAGATATACCAAGGCTCTGAAGAGAAGGAGCATAATATGAAGACATTCCCAATCTGAAATGATTTCAACTTTTCCACTACGTTAAATCATAAATAATCACTCGACAACTAGATATTACAACTAAAAAACTTACCTGGGTTCAGCTTCCTCAAAAGCGAATTCGACTATCTCGTCCCGAACAATCTGTTCAGCAATGGACATTTCAGGCGAATTTTCACTAGATAAGGGACCAGCCAACATTTTCGCGTAAGATGTTTTTTTAAATCGTTCACGTCGTTTCTGCTCCAAAGCTTTTTCAACCTCTTCTTCCATAGGTTGAATCTTTACAAAAATATTTGAGATTACTATAACATATGACTCTAATATGAATATATTCTTCTAGATAAAGGCATAGTAGCAAAGTGGACAATGGTTCACATTATTTTGTTATGGAGCAAGAATTCATACTCCCTTCCTTCATAAGAGAATATCTGTGAAAATATGATTTAGAAATTCAAGTGATATTGGCAGTCTACATGGCAAAAAAAATTTCTGGCTGCATTAACAATCACCGCAGTTAGCCTAACCAGCAATGGTGAGTGCCAATCACTTTTTATTTAATACTTTTTAATAGAACAATGGAAAATAAAATAAAGGTTGTTTTAAGGTTGTTTTATTGGAAATATTAAATTGGAGTAAATTTAATCTTAAAAAATAGGCTGATGCTCTAATAATCCTAAATAATAATACACTAAATTTTAATCAGAAGTGACTCTCTGGTGAAATTACTTTATTCTAATAAACCATGAAGTAAATCTAACCAAAAATAATTGAGTAATATAGTAATCTTGTAATCTTTAAAAAATATTGTTATACCTCCGACTCCAAGTTTTTTAATATTTCTTCTTCCTCTAAAGACAACTGTTCTTGATTCTTTTTTCGTGCTAAACGAAAAGCAGGTGGATCTTCGGTACGTTCCTTAAATTATCCTTAAATTATAATTATGAAAATCTGATGATCTTTTAAAATGTTATTTATTTTTATTATAGGGTATAGGATTATTATATAAGATTATTATTTAATATTATTTAATTATTTATGGGATTATATCTAACACTTTTTACTTTTTCTTAGCAATAATTTTTTAATTTTTCAAAATATTTTTTATTGATACTAAAATTTCTTAAAAAATTCTATATAAAAAATAAAAAATATTAATTTGGAAAATTCACTAAATCAATCGTTGCAAATTCATCAATTGTAAGTTCACTGGATGGCGTTTGCCCAAATTCATCCAATCGTTTGCGAACGACAGCTTCACTTACGTGAACTACATTAACAATATCATTAATTGTACGATTGAAATTATAACGCCGAGCTGCAAGAAGTAAAGCAGCACCACAAAGTCCAGTTGGTCGCCGTCCCGTTGCAATCGAATCGCGTTTCATCCGTTGCACCAATCGAGTTGCTAGTGAAACGACCGAAAATATCCCAATAGAATATTTTTATGATACGATATTTATTAATAATAGCAAAAATTATAAAATAAAAGCTTTTTGAGAAAGTATTTCAGTTTTTAATTACACCCATAATTACTTTAAATCCACTAAACCACAGCCACATCTTTTTCAGTTTAAGTTAAATTTGGGAAAAATTTTTGACATAGTTTTACTTAACAGATTATTCATCCTTATTTGAGAATTTTGTATTATTGATGATTTATTCAAATGGTTAAGTGGCTGTTGCTGAATTCAATATTGGATTTTATTTTGGTTACGACTGGTATGTCCCAAAGAAATTGTGCTGGCCTAGCCTTTTTTGAGATTGAGATTTTGAGATTATCGAAGTTATTTTTAATTCCCATATTTAATTATATGCCTATGACTGCAATTTATGACTGCAATGCAATTTATCTTATCACACGGTAAAGAAATCGAACTCTTTGGAATGGATTTAAATAGTTAAAAAATATAATGGATCCTTTGGTCTCTCATAATTGTATATTATTCTAAACCTTCGCTTTACAAATAGATCTTCGTTCAATTATTGATATAAACTTTTGTTTTGATTCTAATAAATCTAATAAATACATATTACATAAATACATATTAGGAATATTGTCAAAAATGTCCTCTACTCTAAATTTTTTTTTGAACAATTGGCATTCTTTAGCCCAGCTTGATTGGTTTCTATAATAAATAAACATAATTAAACCAAAATTTCCGATAAAAAATTAGAAAAATACTTCTTTCTCCTTTTCTTTAAATTTCAAAAGAATTGCAAAACGAAGAATATATAAACACGGATCTGTCGAGGGTAGGTTAATCCTTAATGATCGAGTGACAAAGGTAAGCGTGCGACCCAAATCAAAAACATTAACCTGAAATATCTAGGATTTCTAGAAATTAAGAAAAAGTTCAACTTCTAAAAGTTTAAAAGTTTAATGAAATAAAATTCCGAAAAATTAAATAAGTAAATGAGGCACCAAAATTCCTCTTTCTTCCTTTCCTATTTTTTTCAGATAATGAAAATAACGGAAAGTAAATAAAAAAAATAACCTGAGTTATATCGCTAAAATCTAAAAGTAAGTGCGAAGTATTTTCAAGTCGACAAGTAATATATAAACAAGCAGCAACAACATGAGATCGTATTCTGCCACGCGTTAGATTACGCGACACACACATTTTGAAGAAATTAAATGCTGTATCGACACAATGTGGAGTGATATGAAGTTGATTAGCGATCTTAAATTCATTTCGATGGACGTGAATGAAAAAATTTCAGCCTAATTTCGATTAAAAGTATTCGATCATCCTCATCTCTTTGAACTAGTCACTTAAAAACTATAGAAAAATAAAAGAAATATAGTTAAGTCTCAAGTACCATTTACTTGAGTTTTGCTAAGCGCCTATCTGCGATTTTCGTTACGTTGATTTAGTCAAAATTTGCTGAATTCACATATGATAATGCAGATTGAAAGAAATATAAAAAAAATATTATAAAAAATAAAATATTTAAATTATTGAACAATAAATCAATATTTTTTAATAGAAATACATTCTATATCATTATTATAAAATTTTAATTTCGCTTAAAAGAGCACTTTGCCAATCTGCCAATCATTGCTTGGCTATGCTATGTATTGCGCATACATGAAATACTAGATCGATTTTAGTCAAGCAAAGAGTTTGAAAGAATGTTTATTATTCACGATTCATTATATTGTGCAAGACAATTGCCACGTTAGACCACTCGTGACTCAATTGCAAAGAAATAGAAATAAGCAATAGGATATAATGGAAGTAAAAAAATTTAATTTTTTTTCGAGAATAAACAGCTAACTTACTGAGATTATCAAACGCTTTCCTTTCGAATATGTAACTTCACGTGAGTCTTGACGAAATACACCACCTATTGATAAGCCAGTTGGTTGAGGTCGGTCTTGAGGAACGAACTGACCTACAGTCAAATATTGTTCACTTTTCAAAGATTAACAAAAAAACGTATAATAAAGGACTTAATAAAAAGGAAGGCTACGCTTTTCTGCCAAGTGTCAAAAAATCATAAAAAATCATTATATAAATATAAGTCGATTAAATTCAATAAAAAACACTTATTTTATACAAACAGAGGAAAGAATGGCTCAGTGGATTGTGGTTCTCATTAGAGTTCTACCAGTGCTAAGTTCTACTCATTCAGAAATACCCTTTTCAATCTCCAAGAAGTGTCGACCCAGTCTCCAGGAAAATTTATCCGACAAGTCAGGACTAGCAAAGCGAGACTAACCGAAAATGGAAATGATGAGCGCTCTAAAAATATACCCAAAATATAGCTATAGCCAAATTAATGGTGATTAAAGAAATTAAATCAAAAAATTTATCAATTAGCACTCGCTCGCAAATGGTACTCCAAAAAAGTGATAATATTAAGAAAACCATTATAAGCAATTAAAATTGCCGAAAAAACAAACCGACAACATTATATCCCCCTCCAGCATTTTCCACATAACTCAACTGCGAAACAATAGCTGATTCTTCAAGTAATGCGCCACATCCAACACATGCAATATCGCCTCGACCAGCATCGTCATCGAATTCCGCACATCCACAGTGTGGGCATACACTCATTTTAAAAAGAAAAGCTAAAAAAATTTGAAATTTAGATAAAATTTTATATTAATATTATTAATATAAATAATATTACTCCAATTATTATTTATATTTTATATAATTATTTGCATAATATAATGCAATATTGGGGATAGAATGGCTCAGTGGGTTGTTGCTCGAGCGCCGATGCTGAGGTTCAATTCCCCGCAGGAGTAAACCTGTACAAAAATGAGGGTGAATCTGGTGCCTCATTTGTATTTCTATCGCCAGGGGGCTCCCTGGTTTACTGTCCAATGCGACAAGCCAGGGAAGCGAGTCGAACCAGTAATGGTGATTACTCTTTAAAAAAAATATATGATTATTTATAATAGTAATTAATTTAAAACGACAATAACTAATTAACAATAAAAAAATTTCAATGGGTTTGAGATGATTATTGCGGTAGTTTTTGCTTATTCAATACAGCATCAGATTTATTTACTGATAAGAAATTAATGTGCGGCATGGCACCTAAGCAGTGAAAAGCATAAAGGATAAAATGGCCTTTGAACCACAGGTATGTAAGCATATGAGTATATTAATTTGAACTCCTCTTTGCTACTTTGCTACTTAGTGAGGAAATAATAAGGCTATGACAGAAGAAGAATACGAAGAACGAATGTGTCCGATATCCGATAACTGAAATTGAGCCAAAACTTCGTCCATCTATATTTTTCTTTCCTTCTGAATAATTTCATTTTTTTTTTGCATTTTTGTATTATTTTTGTAACTTACATGTTTAATCGCTATATACAATCAGTGACGACAGATTTCAAGCCAATTGAAATATTTAAAAAACGGAGGAAAAAAAACCTGAAAATCAGAAATTTCATATATTCATTACGAATAAAATCTAAATTTAAATATTTAAGCGAAAAAAGATAACAATAAGCGCGAAATATTTATTAGTTTATGTAATAATTCTTTCATCGGGAATGGTCCAATGGGTTGTTGTTTGCACTTTGGAGCGACGATACTGGAGTTCCACCCTCCCAAGAAAAAACTTGTTTTTAAAATTTGAGAATTCGAGAATGATGCTAGCGGTTCACCTGTATTTCTATGGTCGCTCGACCTCTGGCAAAACTTCTTTGATCCGACAAAGAGCCAAATCCGAAAAAATAAGTGGAAGCACATAAGTAAATCGGAGTATGATTTATATAATTTCAGATGCAGCAGAAAAGTGCTAAGGAGCAATCAAAATGAGACAATTTGTGAAGTGCGTTTCCTTCTTCGAACGAATCATTATCGATCTTGCTTGGACGAAAATTGAAAAAAGAAAGAGGATCACTCTATCTTCAATTTTTAATAATAGATTTACGAAGTGTTTTACAAGGCTAAGAATTTCTGTTCGGTGGAAACGAGCCGAGACCGACTCGACTATCCTAATCGCATTTAATCGATTAAAATGTGCATTTCTAAAAAAAAAAAAAAAACTGAAAAGATTTGCACTAAAATAAGGAAATTTTAAAGAATATCGTTAATACTCCGAAATACTTTGAGATTTTAGGTTTGCTTTTCGATTTTCCACTTCAGAGGGTTGTACTTTCGATTTATGTAAAAACAGATTTTCAATCTTTCCATGTTTCAAACATTTTGATAAACGAAATCTAAAAACCTAAGAGAAAATCAACGAAACACCCCTCAACACACTTATTTAACCTGAAAATACCAAAGGTCCTCTTGCAGGTCACCTTAATTTTTTAATTTGAAGCGACAAAACTCAGGAAAACATTTTAAATTTAACTTTGTACCGTACACCGAATATCGCCTTAAGAATTCATTTTCAAAAGTTCAAATATTTACAGCTCAATATTTTACAACTATTTTCCATTTAACTTACCTTTGGAGTGAACACAGATCCACAGGTTTTCTTGTCGATTTTCACAATTTTGCCAGTTTTTATAGATTTTTATAGGTTTTCTTTCGGTGCCATGTGCCAATGAACTATGCAAATTTCATTTAATGTACGATTAAATCGATTCGGAAGTTAATGGTGATAAACAATCCTTCCTTAGGACTTTGGTGCATTTTTTTCCCACTCTTATCTTTCATATATTTTCCTCTTTTTTTGAATAATTTTATTGCAAATTTTATTTTTCTTTAATTTTTATTAATTATATAAATTATTCATTATTAAAAGCATAAATACAATTAAATAAGTAAAAAATATTATTTCTTTTGCACAAATTATATTTATAATTATAATATTTATTATTTTATTTACTATTTTATCATCAAAAAAATACAAAAAAAAAAAGTTATTTTTATTAAATTTTAGGAGGAATCAAATCGCTTTCGAATCGCAAATTCTTTATAGAAATAGAAAGTTAGCCCAAAAAGTTTTGTAAAGCTGGTTGAGCCCATCCGAGCGGATTCATTCCACCTCTGTTCCATTGTCCTGGATTATTCCAACCGCCTCGGTTCCATCCTCCTGGATTATTCCAACCTCTTCTGTTCCATCCTCCTGGATTATTCCACTGTCCTGGATTGTTCCAACCTCCTCTATTCCATCCTCCTGGATTGTTCCAACCTCCTCTGTTCCATCCTCCTGGATTGCTCCAACCTCCTCTGTTCCATCCTCCTGGATTGTTCCAACCTCCTCTATTCCATCCTCCGAGTCCTGTTCCGCCAATCACTACAATAATACATTGAATTTGGATATTTCCTAATTCTTTAAAGTAATTTTAAGGTAATAAATAAATAGAAATTTTAATTAAAAATAGAAAAACCTGGCTCATTTGCATACCGAACTCATCGACAGTTCTATGTTCCGTTTCAATAATAAAATAGATTTTTAAAAAATCAAAATTTTATAAAACAGCAATTCCATGTGTTTTGAAGAAATATCGAAATTTTAAAAAAATATTTACATATGAAATTTTATTTTGATTATTTTTTCAGCTATTTTTATTATATTTATTAATATATTAAAGCAAATAAACTCAATAAATAATATTATTAAATAAGAAATTTTAAATAAAAAAAAATTCACGAAAGAAATTCAATAAAATTCATTCAAATAAATTCAATCGAATAAAAAAAATTGAATGAAAAAAGCCAAAATTAGTGTTTACCTGGGCCTAGTTGAGGCGCTGAAAGACTTGTTCCAATTAGTAATATCGTCCAAAATAAAATACTGAACCACATAGCTGAATAATTTTCTTTGTTAATTTTTTATATTAAAATAATCAAAATTAAATAAAAAATAAATAAATAAATAAAAAATTTTAAATGAAAAATTTTAAATAAAAAAATTAACGAAAAAAATTCAATAAAATTCATTCAAATAAATTTAATCGAATAAAAAAAATGAAAAAAAAAATTGAATAAAAAAAGCAATTTGCGATTGCGATTTTTGAGATTTTTTTTAGAAGCCCTCACTATTTTTTGTTAGACTCACTCTGCTGGCGTACTGGATAGTTATGCCAAGAAGTCCCTTGGCGATACAACTACAAATGGGTTACCAACATCACCTGGATTTTTGGACAGATTTATTCCTGCGGGGATTAGAATTTCAACATTGGCACTTTGAAATTGAGCAACAATCCGTTCTTAAGCCTTAAGCCATTCTGATTCTTTTATTAAACGTTGCGGATTACTAATTTACAAAAATATTTATATAGTGCGATCATAATTTTTTAAATTAGTTCAATGCCTGGCAAAAATATTTTAAAATTTAATAAAGTTTTCAATTGAAAATTATTATTTTTTATTTTATTAAATATTTTTATATTAGAATTATTATAATTAATTATAATTGTAATTATTATAATAAATTATTATTAAAATTATAATAAACAAACTATTTATTATTTTTTAAATATAAAACAGCAATTCCATGTGTTTTGAAGAAATATTGAAATTTTGAAAAATATTTACATATAAAATTTAAAAAAAAAACAGAAAAACAACTTCATAATGTGGAACTTTCTTGGGGAAAAATACGTTAAAAACCAGATGAAATGAAAGAATAAATGAAGGAAATTTTAAATTTTCGGCCGAAACAATTTTATTTGGGATTGAAAAGATTGATTTAGCTTGGAAGAATCACCTTAAATATACTATGTTCAATAAAAAGTATCAACTTAAATCAATTTATGCTATGAAATTCCGACTACAGAAATAAACGAAATTTATCCTTCTTCCATTAAATTTAATAGCTTTCTTAAAAACCTGATTTTTAAATTTTTATAAATGTGCAATACAAACCACCATTCGTACAAAATGATGATTTCGCCCCAAATTCATTGAAAAATGATAATTTTTTCTCAAATTTATGCAAAAATGATAATTTCGCCTCAGATTTATCAAAAAATGATAATTTTATCTTAAATTTATGCAAAAATGATAATTTCGCCTCAAATTTATTGAAAAATGATAATTTTATCTCAAATTTGTGCAAAAATGATAATTTTATTTCAAATTTATGCAAAAATGATAATTTCGCCTCAAATTTATTGAAAAATGATAATTTTATCTTATTTATGCAAAAATGATAATTTCGCCTCAAATTTATTGAAAAATGATAATTTTATCTCAAATTTATGCAAAAATGATAATTTCATCTTAAATTTATGCAAAAATGATAATTTTGCCTCAAATTTGTTGAAAAATGATAATTTCATCTAAAATTTATGCAAAAATGATAATTTTAGCCTAAATTTATGCAAAAATGATAACTTTAGTCTATATTTATGCAAAAATGATAATTTTAGCCTGAATTTATGCAAAAATGATAATTTTAGTCTAAATTTATGAAATTTTCTTAAAATTTATGAAATTTAATTTAAAAAATTATAATTAAATTCTAAACCACAAATAAGGAAAGCGGTTGAATCTCAGTTAAATTATCATTAAGTTTAATCCAATTCTTTTTAATAAAAGATCGATGAAATTTGAGTAAAATTGAAAAACTGAAATGAAAAATTAATGAAGTAAACTATGTATAGCAATTTCGAAAAAAAAACGATCGCCTAAAATGGTATTATTTTTCGAATTAGTTTGATGGAAAATAAATAATTTTTCGATTTATAAATAAAATTCCAGAAATTCACGCAAATTGCTGAAACGGTAAATGTGAAATATTTTCATTAAAAAATAGTTCAAAAATCGAAAAATTATACAAAAAATTTTTTTTAAATAAAATTTTATACGTATAAAATAAAAAAAAAAAAGAAAAAGATAGCTTCAATGAAGAAAATTTCATTTTAAATAATATTTTAAATCAATAATATTCTAAAATTTTAAATATTTTATTTAAATATTAAAATATTTATGTTATTTTTTATTTTTATCTTATTTAAAATATTCATCAAATATCTTTTTCTTTTTTTTTGTTTCATATATATAAAATTTTATTTACAAAAAATTTTTTATATATTTAAAATATACAATAAAATTTATAAAATATGCAAAAAGCAGCAATAAAGCGTAGATTTGAAAAGAAATAACAAAAATTGTTTTTGAGAAAAGCCTAAAGACTTTAAAAATGCCTGAAAGGTGCCAATCTCGTTAAGTCTTATCACCAAACGTGAGATGGTTGACAACTTATTGCTGTCGTCTGGTCTATTGTAATTAGAGCTACAGCTATATAAAAAATTGAATAATGTTGAAGACTATATTTCTTATCTCCCCAACTTATTCAACATAAAAATTGTCTTATCCAACTTATAATCAGTGGAAAATCTTATCAGAAAATGCTAAGTGCTAAACTTAGATATTTAAGCTTTCTTAGTTATTTTATAAAAAATATTTCTAAAAAATTCGTTAAATGTGAAAAATTTCTCATTAAAATTTGTACAATTCTATAAATTATTGATAAGAAATATAAAATACTGATTATTTAATGGTATAAATAAATTTATATATATGTTGTGAATTATTTTCCTGTTTTTATATGCTAAACTTGATATAATTGGAACGTATATTGTAATATTTGTTACAGTTCCTTTTTTTTATGAGAATTTTTTTCTTTCTACCAATTTATCAATTCATCACTTTAGTGATAAAACTCTCAAAGATTATTACACATAATTACGCGAATTGATTATGGCTAAAGCCTTAGCAATTCAGGTCTTCCACAAAATACTTATTAAAAAATATCACAAAGGCTAAAATATAAAATATGAATGAACACAGTACTTCTAAAATATAGAAAATTAAATTATAGATTTTGATATTTTTGAAGAAGAATAGACATTATGGATAAAAATTTAAGCAATCCATTAGATTTCGCTTACAATTAATTTTAACTTATCCTTACCAAATTTATTTCCATGATATAAATTTAATCCTAATCCTATCTTAAATATTTAAGCTTTCTTAAAAGCATTATCACTGATAAGGCTTCCCTTTAAAAACATTGAATCTTATTCTTCTTATTTCACCTTTCAGTTTTCAACTTGAGATAATTTGCAGCGATCTGTGTTTTATTTTATCAGCTTGAGTCTTTATCGGCTTTTAATTTATTAACTTGTTTAGTATATAAAATTTTATTCAAATATTGCTTAAATATGAATTTATGACGAATTGCGGATTTCGTTTCATTTTTATTAAATTGGTTGGTAATGATTAATATAAAAGATTTTTACTTAAAAAAAATGGAAAGCTTTTTCTAATTCATTTTATTCATAGAAATTTTGAAAAATCCCAATTAAGAAATAATTTGATCGTTTTTAAGCAATTTGAAACCTTAAAATTATCGACGAAAAATAATGATTTCTTGAAAAAATGTATTTTCCATATAGAAAATGAAAACTGAAATGGGAATTTTGTTTGAAAAACTCTAAGAAAATTTTATGAAAAATTTTTACACCTCAACATGAGCGCTAAATTGAAGCATAAACTATTTGCTTTGATCGGAAAATAAAAACCGTAGCTGTTCATCTGATTGTTTCAGTTATAAAAATATTCAGTTATAATATTCGCACCTGTTTTTATGCAAATTATGAAATTTTTACCTATCATATTAGTCCAATTTTTTAAAGACGTATGCCAAGATGGATATAAAATTTTAATTGAGTTGGTCCCCATTTATTTTCACTCGTTTAGAGGTGCCTTCACGATAATCAGCCAGTAGTTGCTGCTTGTAATGATTGTATTTTGATCTACAGTTTAGATTTTTTTTTTTTTTTCAGCGGTTAGAATTTTTTTCTCGCAATTTATTAATATTTCACAAATGATAAATTTTTTTACATCTATATTTTGCAAATAATAATATTTGAAGCGTAAAAAATTTGGAATAAATTTGTAGTAAACTAGATTTGTTTAAAAAAAAAACAGGTTTTTTTCTTAATGCTAAAAGCTGTCAAGAAAAAAATATTATAATTTCGAAAAAAAAAGTTTAAATTTTTTAAAACCTAAAAAAATTAAACATAATAATTAAATAATAAAAATTAAATAATTAAATGAAAACCAAATAACTCAAAAAAATAAAATAAAATAAAAACTAATAAAATAAATAAAAATGGGAATGGAATATTTTATTATTTATTGTTTCATTATATATTTTATTTTATTGCGTAGTACCAATTATGTTGTTCTATTGCTGAATTGCTTACCATACCAATAAACAACTTCAAGAATGGAACATTAAATTTCTAAATCTTTTAAAATCTATTAAATATTAAATAATGTACAAAAAAAATGATTAAAATGTATGGTGACAGCTGGAGGCTTTTAATTTTTACTGATCACAATTTTTTTTTTATAAAAATTTTTCATTTTTATTTTTATCGTTTTTTTCGCACGCGACACCATTTCTATTGTGTCAACCAATTTTTTTTTTTTTTTTTAGAGTAACCAACTATATTCATTTTTAGAAAACACCAATTTTTCTTCTATTAAAACTTCTCGAAAAAATTTAATGCAAAAAGGTGCAATTAGTAAAAAAATTACAAAATATCTAATTTTAGTAGTTTTTAAGCATTCTAATGTAAATAAATTAAAAATAAATTTAGGGGGTGAATTTTTTTTAGACTAATGAAAACTGATATCTATCTACAAGTCTTATCTCTAAGCATAATCATAAATGTATCGTAAATATTTTATAGAACATTAATTTGAATAATTCAATGTCCTTATAACTGGATGAAGGTTATGATTTTAATTGTAAATGGTGATTGAAATGGATTGAATTATTGATAAAA